AAATTATAATTGAAAAAATAAATAAATAAAAACTATGTGGACGGAGTAATTATAACGGTTCGGTTCGCTGCTCTTTTCAGAGGCACTTTATTACATCCTCAAACTCAGCAGCTCGTAAGTCGGAATTTTCGAAAACCAAGTCACGGGGAAAAACGAAGGAGCGCTGAAATCCGGTGCGAATTTTATGAGCCTAACCTGACAGTGACAACTTGACCGAACGACAGGTGAACACCGTTCATTTGTGCGATGAATATGGCAGCAACCGCTTCGTACAATGCGGTTCCATCCTGAAGATTCTGGACTTTTCGTTTCGACTTAGATCTTCCTTAGAATTCTTCACTAGTTCAGAATCTTGCGAAGATTTATTATACCATATTGATAGTGGCTCCAACAGGTAAGAACGAATCGTGTCACCCTTCGATCAACTCCGAGGTTTTCTTCTAGACAATTGTAGGTGATCGGTAGAGTTGCAGAGCTATATAGAAAGATTATTAGCCAAGTTGAGCTATGAGGCAAATGAGGGTATAACCTGGACGCCGTTCCAAGTGCCGTGATCCATGCTTGAAGGAGACCACGCATGAATTTGAAAGGATTTTGGCGAGTCGTTAAGAAAAATATAAGTGGGAGAGATATAAGTGAGTGAACGGCCAATCCAGTTAGCACCTGAACATTCGAGAAACGTTCATTAAGTTTAGAGGCTTATGTGGGTGCTTAAACATAATTCCTGAAAGCATTATTGCCATCTTTACAGACATTGGTGAATTTTTCGCTGGAAAACCTTGTTCCCATTGCTCACTTAGGATGTGAAACATTAGGCCTTTTTTGGATGCGCCACGCATTCTAGTTCCACTCAGAATCGCATCAAATGCGAGTTGGCTTATACAATGATTTCCGGGCCATCCGATGTACAAGCCAGTGATTTTATCACCCAAACACGTCTGGCCTGCGGACAGAAGCTTGGTTAGCCCGGAGAGGGTACCAGAATTTCATCCCTGGACAGCAAACGTGATAAGCAGCGCCACTTGCTACTACTCCATCTACTAGTTTAAGTATTGATTTAGACGAGCTGTGTTGCCAGCAGCTGCACAAGGGAAGCAACTCGACTGGAGCATGGTGCTACCAAACGCGCTGTGGTAAGCTCGTCCACATACCCACCGTCTTACCATTATTTGCCGCCCTTGCATGAGTGAAAACCAATGGCCACACAGGGGAGTCCAGTTTCAAGCGCTCTTAATGAATTTCTCTGCATTTTCGCCACTGACGTACCGTTGCGAATCCCTACGTCCCCTCCAAACTTTCCCGGGAACTATCGTAATCGCGTCTCTAATACGTTGTTAGAAAGGTCCAGTTGAGGTTTAATTGTGTTCCACTATTTCAGTAATGGAAGTTAGTGAAGTGTGACTTCTCGAGCTCTCGCTCTCTAGATAGTTCTTCGTCTACAGATCATGAATGAACGTAATATACAACCTCCAAATTTAAGCCTACACCTTGCATGCGCTACACTGCAAATGTTGGGGTTGAAACTTGAAGTTTCTATGCAAATAAGGCTTGTTCCACGCCAAACGAACTACTGACTAACCTTGTCTCAGTTTCGCTTTCAATATATCTCACACTGTAATTTTTCGCTCGTAGTAAAGATCCATTCCAGCTTAAAGACTTACCGTAACCATGTACATGGCCAACATTCGAGCAGTATCGGCAAGGTCTTGGATTTCGAGAATTTTCCCCATCAAATTAGACACATAATTCCGAAAGGTGAGTACTGAATCTTGTTCTCATGAAAGGGGAAATGCATGAGGATATCTCTTAAAAATCAATCCCAAAAAGCACCATTTCATCTGAGGCAATCAATCTTGGCGGAATGCACAGTACAAGGAAACGGCCATTCTTCCAAAAATGAAGAACACATTCTACATTTAGCCAAGTGCCCAAAGGGTGTTATATAGTGCGAGTTACCTGCTTGGAAGCATGGCGGTAGTCCCTCCGAGGGTCACCGCGGCGTTTGGTCCAAGTTTAGGTAGACGACCACTGCTACCTCCATCCCGCTTTGGTGGGACGACGTCGACTGTGCCGTTGTATCTGGTTCAACCTGACCAATTTCCGTCAGGGCCAACAGTTGGTAACACACCAAAAAACCAGAGGGGGAGGGGGAGAGGGGTCGTATTGGTGATTCTCAGTAAGCGTTGTACTGAGCGTCATGAAGAGGTACACCCCCCCCCCATCCCTCCCCATCGCCGACCACCAATCTCACCACCATAGCTGTTTCTACAGAATTGATTCTGTCACCAGCCGACACGTTCCAACTCCGCCCACTTTCTTTTTTTCCTCCAAAACGGCCGTGGAACAGGAGGGGAAAGGGGGTTAGAGTAAATCCGTGTAGTGTAATGAAGCGGTAACTCCCCCCCCTCCCAATGAATTTAACCACTCCATGCTTACCTATTCATTTTTTAAGTGCCCAAAAACGTTTACAATGAAACCCCCTTTGCCACACTGACGACCCCGCCGACTTCTGAAAATACGACCCCACTCCTTTCAGCCTTTTGGCCCTAAATACGATTCCACCCTCCAGAAAACTCGAATACGACCTCCCTAGTTGGGAACTGCGTAACGCGCGGTTGAACCTGCCTTCTAGGTCAGTCATGTTCTTCTGGTCAATTATTGAATACCCTCCCTTTCAAAAACGAGAAGAGCGTCGGGTGCAGACCATACACCACAAGTGACGACGGCCTCCAAGTAAATCTGGTTAGTAGTGGTTCATAGTGATAGCTGATTTTTGGTAAATGATAGTTGTAATTAGTGACAACTGATAGAATACAACTGCAACAGGCTAATCATTTCATTGGCAGAAAACATTTACATTTTGTGGAGGCCGTCGTCACTTGTGGTGTATGGTCTGCACCCGACGCTCTTCTCGTTTTTTGAAGGGAATATATGCCTACTCCCGTGAATATTAGCTCACCACATGACCGTCATGACGAGTTTCATGATGACTTTATCCATGATAGCAAAGAACTGGATCATAACATCGGCTTCAGCTCCAAGCTGTGATAAAGAAATGCCCAGCGCAATGCAGAAGACGATAATACCTTAAATAAGCAAGTAGATGCAGAGAATACTTGAAGCCATGTGATTTTGAGGCATGCTGACTTATTGACTAATTGCTAGCACACTTCTCTTCCAGGGGAAGTTATTTTACACTGAGGTTTTTGGGAATGAAAATGCTTTCTACTATCTACTTTTACTCCACAACACTTCCATGGGTATGACGGATCAACTTACCGAGTACGTTAAGACCTTCTATGTGCTCGGTGACTGGTTTTTTCTTCGCCTCTATTAGACACTGGTTTCAAACACCAATTGAATGAATAAGCTTGATATGGACTACTTGACCAATTAGGACCAATTTATTTCAATCAAAATAGCACAATTTAATGTCATATATTTTATTATTACAAAATCGAAATAAACCCATGAATTAATTAATATTTAT